AGACTCAGTGGTGGTGGATGATAGACTCAGTGGTGGTTGGTTGACAAACTCAGTGGTGGTGGATGACAGACTCAGTGGTGGTTGGTTGACAAACTCAGTGGTGGTGGATGACAGACTCAGTGGTGGTGGATGACAGACTCAGTGGTGGTGGATAATACGCTCAGTGGTGGTGGATGACAGACTCAGCGGTAGTGGATGACAGACTCAGTGGTGGTGGATGACAGGCTCAGTGGTGGTGGATGACAAACTCAGTGGTGGTGGATGATAGACTCAGTGGTGGTGGATGACAGACTCAGTGGTGGTTGGTTGACAGACTCAGTGGTGGTGGATGACAGACTCAGTGATGGTGGATGATAGACTCAGTGGTGGTGGATGACAGACTCAGTGGTGGTTGGTTGACAAACTCAGTGGTGGTGGATGACAGACTCAGTGGTGGTGGATGATAGACTCAGTGGTGGTTGGTTGACAAACTCAGTGGTGGTGGATGACAGACTCAGTGGTGGTGGATAATACGCTCAGTGGTGGTGGATGATAGACTCAGTGGTGGTGGATGATAGACTCAGTGGTGGTGGATGATAGACTCAGTGGTGGTTGGTTGACAAACTCAGTGGTGGTGGATGACAGACTCAGTGGTGGTGGATAATACGCTCAGTGGTGGTGGATGACAGACTCAGCGGTAGTGGATGACAGACTCAGTGGTGGTGGGTGACAGGCTCAGTGGTGGTGGATGACAAACTCAGTGGTGGTGGATGATAGACTCAGTGGTGGTGGATGACAGACTCAGTGGTGGTGGATGACAGACTCAGTGGTGGTGGATGACAGACTCAGTGGTGGTGGATGACAAACTCAGTGGTGGTTGGTTGACAGACTCAGTGGTGGTGGATGACAGACTCAGTGGTGGTGGATGATAGACTCAGTGGTGGTGGATGACAGACTCAGTGGTGGTGGATGACAGACTCAGTGGTGGTGGATGACAGACTCAGTGGTGGTGGATGACAAACTCAGTGGTGGTTGGTTGACAGACTCAGTGGTGGTGGATGACAGACTCAGTGGTGGTGGATGATAGACTCAGTGGTGGTTGGTTGACAAACTCAGTGGTGGTGGATGACAGACTCAGTGGTGGTTGGTTGACAAACTCAGTGGTGGTGGATGACAGACTCAGTGGTGGTGGATGATAGACTCAGTGGTGGTTGGTTGACAAACTCAGTGGTGGTGGATGACAGACTCAGTGGTGGTTGGTTGACAAACTCAGTGGTGGTGGATGATAGACTCAGTGGTGGTTGGTTGACAAACTCAGTGGTGGTGGATGACAGACTCAGCGGTAGTGGATGACAGACTCAGTGGTGGTGGATGACAGGCTCAGTGGTGGTGGATGACAAACTCAGTGGTGGAGGATGATAGACTCAGTGGTGGTGGATGACAGATTCAGTGGTGGTTGGTTGACAAACTCAGTGGTGGTGGATGATAGACTCAGTGGTGGTTGGTTGACAAACTCAGTGGTGGTGGATGACAGACTCAGCGGTAGTGGATGACAGACTCAGTGGTGGTGGATGACAGGCTCAGTGGTGGTGGATGACAAACTCAGTGGTGGAGGATGATAGACTCAGTGGTGGTGGATGACAGACTCAGTGGTGGTGGATGACAAACTCAGTGGTAGTTGGTTGACAGACTCAGTGGTGGTGGATGACAGACTCAGTGATGGTGGATGATAGACTCAGTGGTGGTGGATGACACTCAGTGGTGGTTGGTTGACAAACTCAGTGGTGGTGGATGATAGACTCAGTGGTGGTGGATGACAGATTCAGTGGTGGTTGGTTGACAAACTCAGTGGTGGTGGATGACAGACTCAGTGGTGGTGGATGATAGACTCAGTGGTGGTTGGTTGACAAACTCAGTGGTGGTGGATGACAGACTCAGTGGTGGTGGATGATAGACTCAGTGGTGGTGGATGATAGACTCAGTGGTGGTGGATGATAGACTCAGTGGTGGTGGATGATAGACTCAGTGGTGGTTGGTTGACAAACTCAGTGGTGGTGGATGACAGACTCAGTGGTGGTGGATGATACGCTCAGTGGTGGTGGTGGTTGACAAACTCAGTGATGGTGGATGAGAAACTTAGTGGTGGTGGATGAGAAATTTAGTGGTGGTGGATGAGAGACTCGGTGGTGGTGAATGAGAAACTTAGTGGTGGTGGATGAGAGGCTTAGTGGTGGTGGATGAGAGACTTAGTGGTGGTGAATGAGAGACTTAGTGGTGGTGGATGAGAGGCTTAGTGGTGGTGGATGGGAGACTTAGTGGTGGTGGATGAGAAACTTAGTGGTGGTGGATGAGAAATTTAGTGGTGGTGGATGAGAGACTCGGTGGTGGTGAATGAGAAACTTAGTGGTGGTGGATGAGAAATTTAGTGGTGGTGGATGAGAGACTTAGTGGTGGTGAATGAGAGACTTAGTGGTGGTGGATGAGAGGCTTAGTGGTGGTGGATGAGAGACTTAGTGGTGGTGAATGAGAGACTTATTGGTGGTGGATGAGAGACTTATTGGTGGTGGATGAGAGACTTATTGGTGGTGGATGAGAGACTTAGTGGTGGTGGATGAGAGACTTAGTGGTGGTGAATGAGAGACTTAGTGGTGGTGGATGAGAGGCTTAGTGGTGGTGGATGAGAGGCTTGGTGGTGGTGAATGAGAGACTTAGTGGTGGTGGATGAGAAATTTAGTGGTGGTGGATGAGAGACTCGGTGGTGGTGGATGAGAGACTCGGTGGTGGTGAATGAGAGACTCGGTGGTGGTGGATGAGAGACTCGGTGGTGGTGAATGAGAGACTTAGTGGTGGTGGATGAGAGACTTAGTGGTGGTGGATGACAGACTCAGTGGTGGTGGATGAGAGACTTAGTGGTGGTGGATGAGAGACTTAGTGGTGGTGGATGAGAGACTTAGTGGTGGTGGATGAGAGACTGAAAGGCGGCGGGTGGCAGCCTCCACGTCAGCCGACCCTCACCTGTTTCGCTACATCTCATGACGTCACTCGCGCGTAAATTCAGAAAACAAACTGGAGCTGACACAAGGACCATCTCCCGGTGTTGTGGTGTGTGGTGACATCTGTGAGGCGTTACTCCCAGTAGGTGGTGGTGTGGGCGTGCACCCAACGGTGTGGGCGTGCACGCAACGGTGTGGGCGTGGAGTTAGATGTTGTGTGGGAGTGTAGGCTGGAGGAGGAAGCCATAGTTAGGGCGGGTCAAGGTAGGCTGATAACGGCCGCCCCGCCCCATATTACCTCCCTAGGTGCCCTCACACCAGTCCTGGGGCTCCCTCACACCAGTCCTGGGGCTCCCTCACACCAGTCCTGGGGCTCCCTCACACCAGCCTTGGGGCTCCCTCACACCAGTCCTGGGGCTCCCTCACACCAGTCCTGGGGCTCCCTCACACCAGTCCTGGGGCTCCCTCACACCAGTCCTGGGGCTCCCTCACACACCAGTTCTGGAGCTCTTGCACCAGTCCTGGAGCTCTCACACCAGTCCTGGAGCTCTCTCACACCAGTCCTGGGGCTCCTTCACACCAGTCCTGGGGCTCCTTCACACCAGTCCTGGAGCTCCCTCACACCAGTCCTGGAGCTCCCTCACACCAGTCCTGGAGCTCCCTCACACCAGTCCTGGAGCTCCCTCACACCAGTCCTGGGGCTCTCTCACACCAGTCCTGGGGCTCTCTCACCAGTCCTGGGGCTCCCTCACACCAGTCCTGGGGCTCCCTCACACCAGTCCTGGGGCTCCCTCACACCAGTCCTGGGGCTCCCTCACACCAGTCCTGGGGCTCCCTCACACCAGTCCTGGGGCTCTCACACACCAGTTCTGGAGCTCTCACACCAGTCCTGGGGCTCCCTCACACCAGTCCTGGGGCTCCCTCACACCAGTCCTGGGGCTCTCACACACCAGTTCTGGAGCTCTCACACCAGTCCTGGAGCTCTCTCACACCAGTCCTGGATCTCCTTCACACCAGTCCTGGAGCTCCCTCACACCAGTCCTGGAGCTCCCTCACACCAGTCCTGGAGCTCCCTCACACCAGTCCTGGGGCTCCCTCACACCAGTCCTGGGGCTCCTTTACCCCAGTTCTGTGGGTAGTTTACTTTGTATAGAGTCAGGCGACGTTGCGTGGAGTCGGGCGACGGAGGGAGGGAGAGTAGGGAGTATTATGGAAGTAGGGTAAATGGGATATAAGAAATGGATCAGAGGATAATGTGATAGGTAAAGCTCAGTAACCCATCTTCTATGCATTTGTACATGTTGGTATTATATTGGTTAGTATGATGCTCCAGTTGCTAAGGGTTGGCCAAATAGGCTCATGTTCATGAAATTTAGTTGTTGCTAAATGCTACTTTTTCCTGATTGGACAACAGTAAAATGCTATGTTTATTCTCTTTATCTTATTTTACTCAGACTTGGTTGTCGAGAGAGAAGTTATAAGAGAATGTGAGCTGTAGATTGATGATATCCAAGTTAATTGCTAGTTGTGAGTTTTGTAGGTAGGTAACATAATTTCTGAAGTCAACATGTTATTTTCTTCAAAGTTTTAACTGCTTATGGGTGTTGTATAAGGTATCTTGCAAGACTAGATACCTATACAAATAGCTATGGATTTCTTTATTGAGTGTTATTAATCAGTAATAACTGCTGGGTAGTCCATTCAGCACAGTTTTATTTAATGTTTTCCACAGGAATGGTTATAATTTTTATTATAATTATTGTGGTATTCAAATAAATACAAATACAAATATTTATTATTCATTATTCAAATATTTTAAATTCATATTATTTTTAAATTCAAATTATTATTCATATTCAAATATTCATTAACTTTATTGCTTATACAGTATCGGTATCAGAGTACAGTGTTTGTTTGTTTACAGTATCAAAGTATCTGTATTGGCTAATATGTTTCTATCTATATTGGCCCAAATTTTGTTATCGGTACATCTCAAGCATGAGTTACACTGTAACGCTGTACTTTCAGGAGTAATGATCAAGAGGTAAAATGGACTTGCTTACATTTGCAGCCACTGCAGTCTTCAGCACAGAGTCTGAGGAAGGTAAAATAGGGGTCACTTGTTTTGTGCAAAAACTACAGGATATGCCACCTCTACTTACCTCTACTTGTCCCCTCCAGTAATGAACCTTCACTCACTGCTATGGCTTGTTTAGAAATATGAAGCAATTTGTTGTTTAATTATATGATAATATTAGTTAATAAGTATTTAATATTTGTTAAACAGTGTGTTTAGGCACCTGAAACTTTATTGTAGATTTTAAGTAACTACATAACACAGAGGACAGTAGTAAAGTGATCCATTATTAATGTGTTTGAAGATGCTGCAATTCCCCTGACACCCATAAAAGGAGTACACTCTGTGCTTGGGGAGGTCACCAACATTATCAACATATCTCCAGAGAAGTTCACCAACTCTCCTCTGCAAAACCTCTTCACTGCTCCAACCCTAAACACTCCAACAACTAAATCAAGATGTTTGGCATCCAATTTCTCAACAACAAGGTAAGTTAGAATTTTGTTTGTAAATGTACCAAATTTTGAACCATATTTGGGAATAAGCACTTATCTGTATACAAATGCGATGCACTTAATGCTGCATTAAGCATGGACACCGTGTTCTCCCATATAACAGGGCTTGATGAAAAAACGTGAATGACCTCTCACTTTAGTGGTCTTGGGAGGTTGGGGGGAGGGTTAAATACCCCAGAATTTCCACCTTTTAAGGCTGTGGTGTAGTTGGTTTAGTGCGTACCTGCTATGTCAGTGTTGTGAAGCATCTGTGCTGGCGAGGGTTCAAGGCTCCTGGTGAGTGTGTGTGTCTAAAGTTATACAGTATATATGTTGTACCTAGTAGCCAGAACGCAGTACTCGGCCTACTATACAAGACCCATTTTGCCTAATAAGCCAAGTTTTCCTGAATTTATATATTTTTCTATTTTTTTATGAAATGATAAAGCTATCCATTTCATTATGTATGAGTTCATTTGTTTAAATTTGAGTTAAAACTAATGTAGATACGACTGAACCTAACCAACCCTACCTAACCTATCTTAACATAATCTAAACTAACACAACTAAGACATTAATTTGTGTTTTTAATATAATATAATAATAATAATTCAAATAAACTAATTGGAAATATTTTATTGAAAATAAAGAAAATTTCTCAGCCTATTAGGCAAACTCCTAAATGAGTTTTGGAGAACTCCTCTTTCAGCTAAGCCCTGATGCTAGGAAAATAGATAGAGGGATAGAAGCCCTAAATCAGAAGATAGTAAATACTGAATATGCGGTCATATTCAATGAGACATGTTTAAAAGAAAACCTGCTGCCAGTATGTGACCCTCCCTCCCTCTGTACTGTGTGTGTGTGTGTGTATATATATATATAATATACTGTATATATATATATATATATATATATATATATATATATATATATATATATATATATATATATATATATATATATATATATATATATATATATATATTGTGACGGTAAAGCGTTGGTGTTCGGCTGTTTCAAAAGCTAGGGGCATGGTCTCGTCACATAAAGAAAAAAAGAGAAAAGCTGGAACTTTCGTCTGTGGTAAGGTAATGGGAAGACACACAAAACACAAGTAAATTTAACAATGAGATTTTAATTACGTTAGAAAAGCAAGACATGAATAAAATTGAGTATAAAATGTAACAGACAAGTCAACAAACAAAATAATAAGAATAATCACTGGCAAATGAAAAGTTACGTTAAGACAAGTGAATAATAGCAAAGTAAATGATAGTGCCGGAATATTGGCTTCGAGCTGCCACCTCCCTTAGTACACGTAAGCCAAGGCTTAGTCTACCAATGAGACGTGTCAACTGTGTGGAGCACTGGAATATTCTGCCTTCTCTGGGTCGCTGCAGCCCAGACATCAACTCGTGGCGGAGGGTGGTGGGGCAGGTGCGACTGGGCACCAGCCAATCAGCGACCGGCAGGCGATGGACATCAGTTTGCCGGTTAATGGTGGCGGGGGCGAGCAGGTGCGCCGGTGTGCTGGATACGTTTTGTTCTCTGGGCAAAACGTTTTGGAAATACTTGTTGGATATATCTTCTATATTATCTGTTGATGTGACGTACTTTGGAGGGAAGAGCAGGCTCAATCTCTCTTGAAAGAGATTGTCACAATATATATATATATATATATATATATATATATATATATATATATATATATATATATATATATATATATATATATATATATATATATAATATATATATATATAATATATAATATATATATACACACACACACATACAGGGTATATATGTAATTTTTTTAAAGCTTAAATCTTATAATTGCACATAGTGCACATTTTTCCTTTAAATATTGCTGAACATGTGGAAATCACTCTTGTTGTTAAAGGCTTGATGATTCATAGCATGGCCACCTTGCATGCCAAGACAAAGGATGGCGATGCACCAGAAATGGTCCACATCTTTTCACTAAAGCCCTGGAAGGAAACTACAGGATCCAGGAGTTTTTCCAAATATGGCAAAAGATTGATGAGGTCTTTCTTGTCAAATGATGTTTCCCTAGAATGGGCGGGGGCTCTTTTTTTTTAAATGTGTCACCTTAAATCATCTCCAGGCAATCTGAGCATCTGGGCCAATCACTCTCAAGAGATTGGAGTGGTTTAAGAGTTAATTGTTTAACTTGAAATTTATCGGACACTTTATTTTCAGATCCAGGAGCACTCTTGAAAAAAGCAGCAATGGAAAGTTACTGTCCTATTCTTCGCCAGAGACAGGAGGAGGTGCTCAAAACAGAGGAGTATCATCTCCATACCAACCTTCAAATGGAAGTCAAGGCAGGAGTCCACTAACTCCCATGAGCAATTTAAAGTTGCTAACTCGCATAGCATCAATGGAGGAGTCATTAACAAGTAAAAAAGTTTTATTTCAAAACCAAAGTATTAGTGATAAAGAGAGTCAGTGCTCCTCAAATGTGGAATTCTTGGCTGCCTCTAATGCTACAACCAAAAACGTGTCATTTCGACGCCACAATAGCGAGTGTTTAGGTCAGAGTCCAAGACATTTGACCAGATCCACCAGTACTTTTCGCAAACACCCTACGAATACTGATTACCCTAGACTGAGCTCCCCTGGAAATCTTGTCACAGAAAATATGGGTAATCTCCCTTCAGTGGATGAAACCACCTGTAATCGTTCATCTGAGGGATCCCGAAAAGATAAATCATTAGGTGTATTAAGTGAAAAGTAGGTAGAAAAATTCTTCTCTATTATACTTTTGCTATAACTTTTACTTGAAATATGATTTTTCCCATAATAATGTCTTTATTTTATAGTTTAAAAATTGACATTTTCTTTCTTTCATACAAAGATTCTTGGAACACTTTCCAATGGAAGTGTCTTTTTTGGAAACTCCTCGACGTCTAGTCATTGATGAAGTGGCGTTAATGCTAGGTACAGAGCGGCGGCGGGTGTATGACATTATCAATGTTTTGGAGAGCCTTAGCATGGCTGCCCGTGTACAGAAGAACATGTACCATTGGATGGGGAAACTGCATCTTCAGGAAACTCTGGCACGTCTGAAGGCTCTTGGTCTCAAGCTGGATGTTGGTACTCACCTCCAAGCACTTCAGCACTTAGATAATGATTTTAAAGTGAGTTACATTTTTAAACTTTAGATTGTATTTTGTTGGTTTCATAATCATTGTTATCCCATTCTCACTTTTATGAGGTAAGAATATATTTGCCTGGAGAAGATATAAAAAATAAAGAAAATGGTTAAAGATTTGAAAGTACTATATAGTACTGTAGTTATGAAAAAAACTGTAAGCCAGTATGGCTATATAGCACTGCCTATTTTACATATTATTGAGGAGGCCCTAGATTTAATTCAGGATGCCAATTTGAGAGTAGAAAGACAAAATGTGTGATGTCCAGGAAGGCAAATATGCTTAAGACCTTAGAGAAAAAATGACTCGAAGAAACGGCAGGAAAGTCAAATTTCCATCATCTTGGAAATCGGGGAATTCAACAAGGAGGTGAACAACTATTACTGGTACAATGCAGTTTGAGTAATAAGGTGCAGGTCTGAGGTTCTATCAAGTCCCAACAAACTTTCAGCAACAGAAGCAAGATTACTTTGATAGGTAACATTTGATACTAAGCAATTTATTGGTTTTGGCTGTCGATCTATAATATCTCTTTAAAGCAGCAGATTGCTTTATGAACACTCAAATCCATTCCAAGTCCTATTTGACATCATGGCTACTGTCAAGTAGTATCTTGACCAAAGTGCTACTGTTTCGCACCTGGCTGCTCCCCAGATGTACACCGGAAGGTAGTGCCCTTATCAACACCAGGTCACCAGCCATAAGCCTTCTTATATTCTGACTGATACTAAGAGAAACTGTGCAAAGGGGACTAGAGAAAAAATAAGAGCATCAAAGTATATTATCAGAAAGTAGCTTTTCATACATGCCTAATGGTGTATCTAGAAACTCCTGAGAAGGTACATATCGACAAAGGCGTGAGTTGACCACTAGAAGCCCCGAACTCAGAAGTTGGAATTAAACATCAAGAAGAGTGCATTAAGTGGCAGACTTGTGAAGAGCATGTCATCAAGGATGATACACCTGTGGCTAAATCAAATTGACCAGTCTGTGAGGATTAAGAGGGATAACACTTGAGTATCTAGAAGCCTGGAGATACAGCTGTAGGCTGCCACAGAACAGAAGTGTACAGTGCAACCACCAAGTTCAGGAGTATTATTCAAGACTGGTTCTAAATTCAGATTCTAGATTCATGCATGTCTAGGATTATAGGCAATTTTGGCTGTTTTGTTAGTACAGTACTGTACTGGGAATCGAAAAGTGGAGGGCACAAGAAGCCTTAAATCATAAAAATCAACATGAAAGTCCAAGGAAGAAGAGATGCAAGGAACAGACGAGTTGCTGTCACAGTAATATCTCCATGATTTAATGGTGAATTGCTATCGTATTGTGATATTTCCATAAATGTTGAATATCTCATAATATAATACAATATTTCTATTAATGAGTGGTGAGCTGTTGTAATAGTGTAATATTTCATGACTTATTCATAACTAAACTTTCCTGCAGTTCCCTAAATGCATCAAGACCAATTCAGGTGGAGATGGAGAAAAGGTGGACACTAGAAGAGAGAAGTCACTTGGCATCCTGTGCCAGAAATTCCTGATGCTCCTATTGGTCAGTCCACAAGTAAGTCAGTCTGCTTCTTGTGTGCCATATTTCTCCCTCTTTCTTTTTATCTCCAGTCTGTTGCTTCCCTTCTCTACGGAAGTTAGAAATAGGCAGTTCATAATGAGTAAATAAATACTATTATTAATTGTGTGTGTATAAGCTTTTTTCTGGCTTGTTTTAATATAAGCCCCATTTTTATTTAAATTTGTTTTGTCTTATAAACTTTGGTCATTTCTTATTTATATATTAATTCTTTTTCATTTCAGCCACACATTATTTCTCTGGAAAGTGCTGTGCGAATACTTATAGGAGAAGTTGGAGAAGATGGAGAGCGACTGAGAACAAGAGGAAGACGGCTTTATGATATTGCCAATGTATTGACATCTCTGGGACTTGTGAGGAAAGTTCCCACAGCCAAGGCTTTTCAATATGTTGGTCCAGCAGTAGAGGTCACAGACAGTCATGATGGTGAGTGCTGCTCATTTGTTTTGTGTAGGGTATTTAGCTTGGTATCTACATAGTTACATCGTGTACTTTTGTTATACAGTACTTTACTGTGGAGTGTTAATTCTAGCAGCTCCCATAAACTAGCTTGATTTTAAAAAATAGTAGAGGACTGTGCATGTTATATTTCTGAGAAGGCATGTCGGATCTTTTATGGTTCACTCAGGATTCATATCGCTTCTCAGGCTCTTTTGCTATACTTTCTCAGTTATTACAGGCTACTGTGCAAGCATCTGCTATGGTGACCTTGCTGTTAGTTCTGCTTTTGACAATGGTGATGACCGTAGTAATGTAGATAATTGTGCACAACCCTCTTATTAGCTTTGGTGTTAGTTATAGTTTACTTTAGTTAGTGTAGTGATACTTTCCTCCCTTTTGGGATGAATGTTGCCTCACAACAGTGATAAAGATGATTCAAAAATCTTATTGAGCTTTGGTAATGAGATGGACATGGGTACCTTAGTTTGTCATTGCTCTAGCCTGCAGTATTTCACTAAAATACTGTATTTTTAGCTTAATACATAGATGTATCATAAGTAGAATTTTGTTTACCTAGTAGAACGTGATAAATACTTGAGATTCACTGTAAGCAATGTTTTGGGTGCTGTCAGAAGGTCCTGGAACAAAAGCTGTCAGAACAAAAGGTATTGTCAGACACAGTGTGATATGATTTAAATAGTACTCAGGTTGTGAAATAAAGTTATTAATAAGATTTTTGAGTATAAAGACTAAAGGATAAAGCTGGAGATTCTATTGAATGAAATTATAAAATACCTATGCCAGAGAAGCAGATGGAATGCTGTTTGATGTCAAACTGATGATCAAGTGTCAATAGTTATTTTCTTCTCAGATACACTGGGCGTGCTGCAACGCCACTCGCTTCTCCCATCATGTCTCGGGAACTTTGGTGGTAAAGAGAACATTAATTCTCTTGGTGACCACGATGTCACTCCCTCAAATATAGCTCAACGTGTGCAGAAACGAGGGCGACCACGAAAACTCTCTGCAGATTTTTCAGCCTCTACATTACCAGGTAAGTAGACCAATGAATTTGAGTGGCCTAAGTGAGCACTATATAACTAGCCGTATATATCTTTGATTCTTTACTTCCCCTCAGAACTCCACTCCAAGCAGTAACCTTGAAAGAAGTCAGTAGAATTTCCTATCTCAACACACACAACTCATTCATTACTTATCCCATTTCCCACTTTGATGGATGCCCAGACATAAGTACACTGCAATACAGGTTGCTGCTCAAGACAGCAAGACTAGTGTCCTCTGTTTAGGATCTGCTACAGTCAAGACAGATTTATATTACACACAAGTGCATTTTGGAAATTTTCAAACTGTCCCCACCAGTTTATATTGGTACTTTGAAGACGTTTAAGAATATTACTCAATTCAGTCCAGAATGTAGCCATTCTTTACATTAATTCAAAAGTCTTTCCATGCTCAACTTGGCAATACAGAGATCATTATAACCCAGTGGTAACACTAACTGCCACCAAATAGCTGCACTGACAAAAATAAAGATGTCCGGTCCAACCTTCCTATATTTCACCTGAATCCAAAGCTAAGGAAAACCCATCTCCAAGTACAAAACAGCCATTGAATGAAGTTTTGTATATATGCACTGACACCTCCAAAATCTGGATATCGTTTTGTAGGGCAACCAATGCGGCTTGTATACAACCTTTTCTGGGGAGAGCCCCTTCAGCTCCGTGGAGTTAACCGGGCTGATATGAATGTATTAGACCCTGGTATCAGTCTAAGCAAATGGAGTTCTAGGCCTACTGGGGACCACGAGCCAGAACCTGGTCCCCTCAGAGAGGCACAAGGAGCAATGGCCTATAGAAACCCCTGTGTGGTTGGAAGCATTCTATGTCTGCCATTGACCGGGGTCAGTCACCCAGAAAGGTAAGTGCCCCAAAACAAACAACTATGCTGGTTAAGAAATTGCTACTGAAAGCCGAACTAGTGGACAGAACTCCCCAAATGAAAATGAGAAAATGAGCATGATGTCACCACATCACCACGGTGCTGTCTGCACAGCTTCCCCCTCCTTGGGGGGGAAGGGGGAGCCCCAGACCCCTTCTGCCAGCTATCCACACCCCATTTCTGTGACTGATGTAAGGCTGGCAGGTCGTGTGACTCTGGCTCCAAATTTCCAGTCTTGTGCCTTTTGTGTGGTGCTATCTTCGGTGGTGCACGAGCCAGGAGTATATTCTCCAGTACTTAGGCTGCATGGGGCTTGGGGCCATCTTCCACAAGTCACCTTGGGGGCTACATCCATAAGGTCTTTTGCTGCTCGGTGATTGACTGCCGTCAGCTGGGGTGTTTCCTTCACTCCAGTTTACCTCTGGGTTGGGGGTAGTATTTGTCACTGGTTTTGGCGCAGGGTACTGTGCAGCTAGTTGTAACCTCTCATAGAGGTTGGCTCTGTTCCGCCTGGGTATGTTGTCCTCTTGCAGGGTTTTTCTTTTGTTTTTGTTTTCTTGCCTGGTGGGGGTCTGCCCCTTGGTTTTGGTCTCATCCTCTTGTATCTTGGTGGTTCCCCGCTAGGCCCCCGTGAATGTACACAGGGACCAGCTTTAGCAGTTTGTTGGTGTTTTTGGGTGCTGGTTAACAGTACCTTGCCTGGGCTTTCCTGAGCGTGACTTTTCATCTCAGGAAACTGGAAAACCTTGTGGGGGGCATGTGGGTCTGATGGAAGCGACCTTGGGGTCCCCTCTCGCCTTGTGCGAGTTTGAGGGTTGCTTGGTCTATTTACTTTGAGGTGATGTTCACTGTTTATGCCTCCATCATGCTGCCTGCTGGGTTGGTGACACCTTTGACCTGCGGTCCTACGAGTTTTGTTGCATATTTGTGACTCTGTACACCCAGTCCACTAATAATTCTATTCAGGTGCTGGCAGCTCGGGCATTGCATGCTCATTTTAGGTTGCTGCAACACACTAGGTTGGTTGCTGACCGGAAAGTTCCAAGGCTGCCCCGTTTTAGTTATAGGGACCCGGACTTGGAAATGTTAGTCGCTTCGACTTTGATTCAATCCACGCCCCCTCGTCCTTCCCTTGCTGTGGTTCGTCCTGGTTCTTTACCCCCCCTGCTTCCGGCTCCGAAACGTCTGAGGGTTTCGGAGTCGGATCAGGGTTTAGTTGGTTTCGAAACTCGGCGGTCTCTAGGAATGCCACTTCCTGGGTGGTGATGGAGGCTTCATGCTCTCCTCCGGCGCTTGGGTTTCTGCTTTTTCGGTCCTGGTGGTAGGTTTGTTCAGTTGCTGCCGTCGTCTTCTTTTCTGGTGAAGAATGAGACTGCTGCTTTCTGGAGGGGTCCTTGGGTTGTTGATGCTTGGTTGGGTAGGCCGAGGGTGTATCATGTGTCCGGTGGTGGTTTTCCGCCGTTACGTGCATGCCATGACTATTGTCGCCGGGGACGTGCTTTGGGTTGATGCAGTTTCCCTTCTTCCCTGATCCAGGTTTTGTGTCTTCCAGGTAGTCCTCAGGGTTATTGACATTCGGGCGCGGGGCTTTTAGGGGTCAAACAGGGGCCCCTGGCCGCTCACTACCTTGTCAATGTTGCAGGGTAGCGAGTTGCAGCCAGTTGTCTCAACTTAGAGTTGAGGAGCGAGTGTGAATCGCCTCCCGGGTAATCCCTCTTATTTTTGTCTTTGGGCAAGTAGCTCCGGGAAACCGATGGGGCTACCCCCAGAAAACCAACATTGAATGTAATGAAACCCCATTTTCTGGGTGAGACCCGGAGACTCCCCAGCAACCCTCCCTCCGGTCGGCAGTTTTTAATATTTTTTTTTTTTTTTTTTTTTTTTTTTTTTTTTTTTTTTTTTTTACATCCAGCCTCAGAACTAGGGTGTGGATAGCCAGTGTGGAGGTCTGGGGCTCCCCCTTCCCTCCGCCCGGGGAGGGGGGGAAGCTGCACAGACAGCGGTGCAGTGACATGGTGATGTCATACTCGTTTGCTTGTTTTCATTTGGGGAGTTCTGTCCACTAATTCGGCTTTCAGTAGCAATTTCTTAACCAGAATAGGGGTTTGTTTTGGGGTACTTAACTTTCTGGGTGCCTGACCCAGTCGATGGCAGACATGAAATGCTTACAACCACAATCTATAGGTTTCTATAGGCTATGAACTATGAAAAAAAAAAATGAAAAAATTTGAAAAAAAGAACAAAAAGGTTTGGTGTTTGTCAGGTAGGATGCTCCATTATAACAATCTTTCTTTGTTTGAAATGTGTTCAATTTGTTTTGTATTTTTCATTTATTTATTAATAATGGAGCAGCCTACCTGACAAACACTGAACGGACCTTTATGGCATTTGTCTGTTTTTCAAATTTGTTCATTTTTTTTTTTAAAAGAAACATGGAGCAGCTTACCTGACAAACACCGAACAAAGCTTTTTGACATTTGTTCTTTATTCAATTTTTTAATTTTTTTTTTATTCTACAAAAAAAAGGGCAATGCTTTGCAACATTACAGCAGTCATGTCTTTACATCCCAGCATCATTAGCATCTTTAAACAAAACAAAAAAGTTACTTGCATTGTTGGAGGCGTCCGTTAATGTGCGAGAAGCAGCGAGAATGCACCATGTGGTTTTCTCGTTAATCTAACCAGCGCTCGTCAATCGAAACAAATTGTCGGCGATCGGCGTGCTTGTTATTCAAAATGTTCGTAAATTGAGGTGCTCGTCACTCGAGGTTCCACTGTACTGTATTGACATAAATGCTGGTTCCCAAGGTGACATTATCTGACGAGCAGTATGGCAGAGCCACCCTGCCTCTTCCTGTCCCTGGCATCCCTGGGCTTGCTGTAATATTTCTCCTATATCCAAAAGTTCTATCTCAACTCAGTTTTTATAAAAAAATTGTTTCTTCAGTAAAATGTTATATAAGCAACAAAATAATATCTTGATTTTACCAACTTTGGATTATTTGTAGCTGCTAAGCGGCCCAAAATTCAGAGAACACGCAGTGAGGATGCCGTCACCTCTAAGCAATCGACGAAGTTTGCACGCCACCCTTCACTCCATGATATCTGCCAGGTTTGTGTTCTTGTCCATTAATTTAATATTTCGGGTAACATACACTCCTGCCTCTTAAGTGGGAACGTCTCAGAGAACGCAAGTCTTACTCAGGTTGTCTGGGTACTATACTGGGTACTACTTGTATAGTTCTCTACAAACTATCACACAGGATTATGTTGCGGATCTTATAGGAGAAATAGAATTCATTCTGAGATTAAGCTTTTTATTACTTTAATAATTAGGTTTACCTGGCAAGGTTATCTTATAGTTATGTTTAATTTCTGAGGAAAGCTTCTTAGCTGTTTCTTAGCTGGAATACTGTATCTGATACCCGTTATGGTATCGGACTTTCCCGGGCTGTGTTGACTTAAGTGCTACAGTGAGAAGTATCCTTGCTAATGGGATGATCACAAGTTAAGGAGGGAAAGCACTGGATATTAATCAATTCAACATAGAAGCAACTTTTCTACTTCCGTGTTAAAAGTTTCTTCTGGTCAAAGTACAGGAACCCAACCAGTTGGGGAGGGTAGGATTTTTTACCTCATTTTTATTTGTAAACTACTACATTGGTAAGTTTTATTATATGGTGCATTTGGGTACCATTAAATCTGGCCTGGTCCACCATTTGATTAATCACTTGTGATACCAAGGAAGGGACCCAGAATTGGAACCTGCAAGCACCTAGTTCGAGATGGCAGTTTGGGATTGGCCTCTGCACAGTTGTCTAGAATGCAGGAGTCTACTTGTGCTTTTTTTGTCTATCCTTTGTTTTATGGGAGACAGCACTGACTCAGTCTTCAAGGGTCCCTCTGTTATGAGAGAGATATAAGGTTTCTGAGGAAAGACCTTGGTTGCCTTTTGGTTCATATTGTTTTTCTGGGTGGGTTATATTTTGTATCCTGCTCAGTTGGACCTAATTACTACTCGCACTATACAAGTTATAACTACAGTATATTAATTGTGACAGTAGTACTTAAGTGTATATTTTAATGTTTGGAAAAGGATTTGCATAAAATATGTTTAATGAATTTAGGATTTCTACTAAGTTTTTATCTCTCTTGTTAAATATTTTCTAGGTGGCAGAGGTAGAGCGAGAGAAGCTGTTGCAGAAGGAGTGCCTCCTACGGTCACACTCAAATAATGAAGTACCTTCCTACACGTCTTCTGGGTTGTTCACACTAGAAAAAGTTTGTGTTGCGCTATTGATGTATCTTAAATTCTTTAGACATGTAAATTTACTTCTCTGTTGGGGGGGCAGGCCCATTGACTCCCTGAAGCTATCCAAACTGATGTATGCAATATTAGTTTGGTGTCATCAATCCCTCGAGTTTCGTGTGCCTACCTGAGACCAGAGCCAGAACCTGGTCCACTCAGAGAGGTGCAGGGAGCAATGGTCATATGAGCACTCTAATTTTAGAGTTTGTCATGTCTGCCATTGACCGGGGATAACACCAGAAAGGTAGGCGAAACACAAACCTCAAACTGGTTAAAATTGCAACCTACGTCCGAACAGAGCCAAAGAACTCCCCTTAGAATAAAACAATGAAACAAGCAAATCATCATCCAACTAGTGTGCCCACTTGTTAGTACCCTCCCCCTCCCCCGACGGGGGGGGAAGGGGAGCCCACTCAGGCGAGCCAGCTACTCCACCCCTCAGTTCCTTGACTGATGTGCCAGTGTCAACACGTCTCCTCTGGCCTCGATATATTGACTGACTTTGCCAGCTTTGTATGGTGTGGTGGCTAGATGTTCTCTGGTATGCTGGGGTGCATGTGCCTAGGATTCCCTTCCCTAGATGCCCGGTAAGTACATCCCTTGCGTTCTAGGGTTAGCTTCCCTGGGACATTCGGTTCTCACTCCAGTTTGATGGCTTCATCGCTAGGCGTTCTCACCCTTGGGGTACATCGGGGGTCTTGGGCTTTCTGTTTTGCCCCGGGTTGTGAGTGTTTTTTTTGCTGGGTGGGGCACACTGCAGCTGGCGCAGCCTGCAAACAGCGGCGGCTGATGATTTTCTCTGACGACTGGTTTGTTTGTGTGTTGCTTAGTTTTTTTTATTTTTATTTGTTTATGGCATATTCCCTTACTTTTGATGGAGGAGGTAAGGATGATAAATGTCAGAATATTACTAAATTCTATGATTTTTAGCACAAAACAAAATAGGTCTGCCTAGCTTCCCATTAGGCCAGCCTAGGTTGTTGGTGGTCCTCCTCTGTTGCCCCGAGGTTTCACAGTGATTTTCAGTTCTCAGTTTGCCTGCAACAGACAGAGGTTATTGGCTTAGCTAGCCCCAGTGCCTAGGCTTCCAGTAGGGCTAATATACCTACGGGCTCTGGAAAACCCCGTTGGGCTCAGGGGTACCAGGGATGTGTCTTATGAGCCCTGTTTCACCTTGTGTGATGATGAAGGTTGTTTGTGGCCCTACCTCGTGGTGACGCTCATCCATCCTGCCTCCGCCATGCTGCCTGTTGGGTCAGCGACACCTACGACCCTGAGTCTTGTGGAATTTGTTCTCTGCTTCTTACAGTTTACCCATTTCTTGTCTGACGATGTTAGGGGTCAGGCAGCACCTTCGTTGCATGCTAGGTATTCTTTGTTGCAACGAGCCAGGTTGGTTGCCTGGTTTTAAGCCCCGGAGCTGCCCCACTTGGGTTTTAGGGACCAGGATTAAAGGGCATTGGTTAGTTCAGCCATGGTTCAGTCTGCACCAGTGCTTCCTTTCCAGGAGGGTGTAGTTCGCCCTGCTCCTACTCCCCTGCTTCCGGCTCCCAAACGTTCGAGTATTTTGGGGCCGGGGCGGGGTTTAGTTTGGGCTGAAATTCTGGTAGCTTTGGAGATTGCCCCTTCCAATTCTGGGACAGAGGTTGAACCCTCCCTCTGGTCGGCAGTTTTCATCATTCTATGAACTGAGGGGTGGAGTGGCTGGCTCGCCTGAGTGGGCTCCCCCCTTCCCCCTGTCGAGGGAGGGGGGTACTAACAAGCGGGCACACTAGTTAGATGACAATTTGCTTGTTTCATTGTTTAATTTTGGGGGAGTTCTTTGGCTCTGTTTGGCCGTAGGTTGCAATTCTAACCAGTTTTAGGTTTGTATTGTTTTGCCTACCTTTCTGGTGGTATCCCCAGTCAATCACAGACATGACAAACTCTAAAGGTAGAGTGCTCATATGCCCATTGCTCCTTGTGCCTCTCTCAGTGGACTAGGTTCTGGCTTCGGTCTCCGGTAGACACACAGAACTCCAGGGACTGATGACACCAAACTAATATGCACACGTCAGTTTGGATACCTTCAGGAAGCCTCCGGGACTCGCCCAGAAAATGGCGTTTCATTACAGTCAATGCTGGTTTTTTTACATTGACAGTATACAATGTTTTGTGATGCTCATCATCAACAAACATGTTCACATAGTTCTGTATTCTTTCTGGTAGATTGTATATATATAGACAATGAACATTACTGGTGCAATAACTGAATCCTGTGGTACTCTGCTAGTAATACATCTCCAGTCAGATACATTGCCTGTGATTACCACCCCTCATCTTTGTCAGAAAAAAATTCATCCCATGTCAGCAGTCTTCTTGTCACCACTCCAGCATGTGCTGGTTTCCAGAACAGCCTCTTGAGTGGGACTGTCAAAAGCATTTTTTTAGGTCCAGATAATACAGTCAACCCAACAATGTGTTTCCTGTAAAATTTGTGATTCTGTCATAAAACTAAGTAGATTTGTTACACAGGATTTTCCTGCTGAAAAGTCATACTGTTATTGTATCATGTCTCTCTGTGGATGATTACTAAATCAAGAAGTATAGTAGTTATAGGATAGCTTATAGTAGCTGCAAGTAGTCTAATTATACCAGTACATAAATGAATATCTGAATCAATATTTTTTTACAGACAAAAATGCCTGTCACAAAGGGTGAATTGAAAGCAATAGGTCCAAGCCATAACTCGGTCATCTCCCTTCAGCGTCGTCTCATGTCCCGCACCAAGATACCTGCAGCTCTCACTTTCCAAGGCACTAGTGCTAATGCCAATAATATAGGCAAATGTTCAGCACAGGCTAAAGATGAACAAGGATCTGTAGCTCTATCAAACGTAGTGGGACAAGATGGAGACCAAACATCATTCTCGTATCGTCAAACCTTGCAGGTACTATATTTAGAAAATGGGGTTGCCAGGAAGGCTGTAGCTGTAGGTAAATAAAAATATAATATTTTCACTGAATTTGTGGTTGATTCCTGTAAGTATTGTATTTCATAACATTCTCTCGTATAACAATTAACTTATATTGGTGTAGGGCTATGTCCATCATCTGCCCATCACTATGTGATACAATCAGTCCTGTATCCTGTGTGATAACGAGTGTGTTTAAGTGGGCTGGGAGTTTGTTTTCCAAAACTTCTTCCCATGAAAATAAAATTTATTACATCTGTAAAGATGCTGGCCCTACATTTTTAGGGTGGCTTGGACAGCTGTGTAAAATGTTAGAGGCATAAATAAAGAGACGTGAAGCTAAATAGAGGCATAAATAAGGTGGCGAGAAGCTGAAAATTGTGAAAGTTTTAAAGGGAGGAAACCTTGATGTGCTGAGTTGGTGTTTGTGGCAGACAAAGCAGAGATGAAGTGAGAACAGAGGGGAATGGAGTTAATGTTATAAGAGCAGGCTTTGAAGAGAATGAGATCAAGGAAGAAATAGACTTAGAAAAAATGTGTTGAAGCAATGAATGACTTCATGTTGTAGTTTTTGATGGGGGGGGGGGTTCTATAAATAATTAAATTGATATTATTGTACAGTAGTTGTACAGTAACTACTGTACAATACTGTACAGTAGTTACAGAATAATGATGCTGGGCAATTTGAAAGATAAAGTAGGACTAGGTCATGAGAATATGGTGATCTCCCAGGGATGAATGACAGTGGCAGTAGATTGAAAGATTGGTGCAGTGAAGGAAAAACCTGTAAATTTAAATTCAAAATTTGTGGGCTAGTACCTCATTGGCTCAGTGGAGTTTGTTACTTATAACACCAGGATATAATTGCACTCAACAAGCTTTTGGTGTCTATCTCAGCACACCACACCCACTCCTTCCTCCTACACCCACCTCTCCCATGATAACCACTCCTCCTGCCTACACCCACCCTCCATCCTACACCCACCCTCCATCCTACACCCACCATAACCACCCCTCCCATCTACACCCACCATAACCACCCCTCCCATCTGCACCCACAATAACCACCCCTCCCATCTGCACCCACAATAACCACTCCTTCCATCTGCACCCACCATAACCACCCCTCCCATCTGCACCCACCATAACCACCCCTCCCATCTGCACCCACCATAACCACCCCTCCCATCTACACCCACCATAACCACCCCTCCCATCTGCACCCACAATAACCACCCCTCCCATCTACACCCACCATAACCACCCCTCCCATCTGCACCCACAATAACCACCCCTCCCATCTGCACCCACAGTAACCACCCCTCCCATCTGCACCCACAATAACCACCCCTCCCATCTGCACCCACAATAACCACCCCTCCCATCTGCACCCACCATAACCACCCCTCCCATCTGCACCCACCATAACCACTCCTCCCATCTGCACCCAACACAGCCATCTATTGAACTTGCATCCACCACCATCACATCCCACCTGCACCCATTTCTCCCACTCTACTCCTGCTATATCCCTCCCACCATAACCTCAAATCCTCATTGCATGTATATTAATATAGTAATTACCTAAGTGTAGTTACAGGATGAGAGCTACGCTCGTGGTGTATGTGTGTGTGTGTGTGTGTGTGTGTGTGTGTGTGTGTGTGTGTGTAATTACCTAAGTGTAGTTACAGGATGAGAGCTACGCTCGTGGTGTCCCGTCTTCCCAGCACTCTGTCATATAACGCTTTGAAACTACTGACTAGTTTCTACTAGACAAAACTAGTGTGTGTGTGTGTGTGTGTGTGTGTGTGTGTGTGTGTGTGTATAAATAAATATAATATAATATAATATAATATAATATAATATGGAGAAGAATGTTATGGTACTGTATATATTTTTAGGAATATTCAGTATACATTTTGAAGTATGCCTTCTTCAGTTAACTGTGATGGAAGTATGTTTACTGTTATCCTTTCTTATACTGTCTTGTTTGATATTTATTTAATGCTTAGATTTGTCACTGTAGATGATGTGGACTTTTCTGGGGGAAGCCTCTTCGACTTCCCAGAGCTATTCAGGCTGAGATGTATATCCCTAATCTTTGGCATCGGTCAGTGTGAATGGAGTTCTAGGTCTACCTGGGACCACGAGCCAGAACTTGGCTTGTTCTTGGCTTGACCAGAACTTGGAGGTGCCCATAGACCTCCGCGCCGGCGATCCACCCTGTAGTTCTTCGGCTGATGTGATTGGTCATGTGTCTCCAGTTCCAGACTGTGTTGTGCTGTACCTTGGGTCCAGTACTGCTCTTACGGTGGCGTGCAAGCTGGGAGTAATATTCACAAGTACTCGGGTTGCATGTGCTTAGGGTTCCCTTCCCTTAGTGCCCTGTAAGTACAGTACCGCCCTTGGGGGCTTGGGGTTATCTTCCCCAAGTCACCTTGGGGTCTACCTCTGTTGGTCTTTCCCTACTCAGTGATTAACTGCCCGAGTGTGTTGGGGGGTTTCCTTCTTTGCTACGGCCTTTTCTTTGTGCTCCTTTTCCAGAAAGTACATTTTTGTTTAAGTGCAGTACATGTCCTGAGTAGTTCTCATATATTACTCGGTGACGCGTGCGTCGTTCTGCCCTGCTTCTGTGGGTTGCGGGGTCTCTGTTTTTTACTTCGCGTCTCGTGATTCGGCTCGTGGTGCTCGTTTTCCTCGTTGGCCTCTGCCTGGTCCCTGGCTCTTTAAGTTTTCGTCTCCATTTTGTCCTTGCTGTTTGCGGAGTCTGAGGTTCGGCAGTTTCTGTAAGCGTTTTTTTCTTGTTGTCATCTGTTATCAGACTTGTTGGTCTTTTAGAGGTCCTGGGGGTGTTCCTCCCAGACGGGGCGTTTCTGCTCGCCTGGGTTTGTTCTTTCCTTGCTTGCCGGGTTTGGGTTCCTGGTTCCCTGGCGGACATTTCTTCTGGTTCCTTGCCAGCCTTGGTTTCAGGCGCTGTTTGCTCGGTGTCCACACCTAGGGGTTTTCCCACGGCTCCGCCTCTTTCAAATGATCTGTCCGGTCCGGTCCGTGAAAGGGCTAGTTCAGTCTTCTCCTCGAGTCTTCAAGTCTGGTAATTCTGACTCGAGTCTCTCACCATCTTTTTGGTGATCAGGTGACTTTGTTGATGGTGTCCCACCTGCGTGCTTCATCTTGGCTGTGGTATGGGGTTTTGCTGGCAGTCCTTCCTTTTCTTTTTGTCTCTTCATAGGGATCCTTCGTCTTTGTTGACGTGATCTTGTCCTTCTCTCATGGAGGTTTGGGACCGTTGTCTTGACACAAACTGTCGCCTCGTACCGTGGGGCGTTGGCGGAGCCGCTGCAGCTTGCTTTCGGTATTGATGTTACTTCTGCACCGTTTCACAAGCTGCCTTAGGCGTTGTTTCACCTACGGCCTGCTCATGCACCGCCTGAGCCGTTCTGGTCTTTGGACAGAGTGCTCTCGTTTCTGTCTTCGCCTCGGTTTGTTGTGGCCCCTTCGGATCAGGATTGTTTCCCCAAAGCTCTTTTCTTGTTGGCATATGCCTCTGGGGGTCAGGTTGGGGAGCTTCATGCTCTCCTCCGGCACAGGGGTTTCTGCTCTTTTAGTCGTGGTGATAAGTTTGTTTGTTTGCAGCCATCTCCTTTTCTGGCGAAGAATGAGACTGCTGCTTTCCGGAGGGGTCCTTGGGTTGTTGCTTGGTTGGTCAGGCCGGGGGTGCATCGTGTATTGTGTCCGGTTGCGGCTCTGCTGTTATTTGTGCACCACGGCCTCTGTGGCTGGGAATGTGCTTTGGGTTGATCCGGTTTCCCTTCTTCCCTGTTCTCGGGTTCGGGTCTCTCGGGTTGTCTGCAGGGTTATTCGATCTAGCCAGCCTGCGGTCTATTCCCGTGTCCACGACTTATGTAAATTTGCTGCGCCTGATGCTGTCTTCGGCAACATGGGTTGACATTCGGGCACGGGGATTTGGCAGTCGAACAGGGTCTTTGCCGCTTGCTACCTTGTCAATGTCCCTGGTAATCGTAGGGCCTGCATTGCATTGGGTGAGCGGTTGAAGCCAGTTGTCTCGGTTTCACGTTGAGGAGTGAGGACTGACTGCCACCCGGGGCGCCTACCTTTCTGGGTGCCAGATCCGGTCGATGGCAGACATAGAATGCTCTCGACCACACAGGGGTTTCAATAGGCCATTGTTCCCCGTGCCTCTGTTGAGGGGGCCAGGTTCTGGCTCATGGTCCCTGATAGGTAAAAATTCCGTGCACATTGACTGATGCCAAAAAGTTATATCCATTCAGCCTGGATAGCTCCGAGGAGCCTCCGGGACTCGCCCAGAAAATGGCGTTTCATTACTTTCAACGCTGTTTTTTTTTCTGACAGGAATATAGAGCTTTCCAGGATGATGCAAGAAAAATCACTACATCATCACTTAGTTTGCCAAATACAAAAGTTTGTGCAAGTAGCCAAAACTTAAACGCTTCTGCCAGGGTGACGGTGATTGGTGGGTCCTCTACACACTCTGGTCCTCAGCTCGGCTCAGGTGGTCCTTGTACTCCTGCTGGTTCAAAGAGTATGCAAGTGATCAAGGTCATCACTAGGACTGGAGGAGTGAGCCAGAAGGAATCATCTGCGGTCATCACAGTTCTACCAACAGTGCAGATGTGCAGCCAGAGCACAGATACATCAAAACCTGCTATGCATGTTAATCGTGGGTTTCAGCAGTTGTCAACAGGAATCTATAGTAATGGGCAAAAGTTGATAGGGTCAAATGATCCTATGGTTGACAGAGTCACTCATGATTCAAGACAAAACATCTACAGCCCTTACACTATTTACACAATATCAAATAATCATGTTGGTCAAAGAGCTTTTGGAGGCATAAGCTCAGCACAAAATACCACAGTTACCTATCCTCTGAGGTATAGTACACCACCACCTTGTGATAACTTCTCAGGTGATCACATGTCTCGGCCATCATTAACTGGTTTAGGCAACCAGGTACCTCTGAATGCTGGTCATCTCCATCCAAATGTCATTACTGGACCAAACAGTTTAACTGGTTGTGATCAAACAAGGTAAGATTTACAGTTTCTTTGATACAATAAAACTTTTGTTTTGTATTGATATTTACTGGTGAGTGATTTCCTCTGGAGTTACTATGAAAACGCTACAAATAGGTGGTGCCAGAGAGTCACATCAGTAACTTTTTTTATTATCAAGTCTGCAGGCAGTTATGGGTTGTAGATGGTAACACTTTCCATTTCTCACTAAAGTATTAAGAAAATGGTATCCTTATTTACTGAAGGCAAAGAAAAGGGCTTATGTTGACAGTGTGCTAGATAATTTATTTCTTTAGCCCCTTCCGTTTCCAGCCCGTTGCCATCGTGTGAGCCTTGGTGGGTGGCTGCCAGGGTGTGATGCTCTTTGGGACATCTTTTCCTCTGTCCTTTTGAAACCTTATGCTCCTGCTGCTGTCTTTACAAATTTTGCACCCCATCTCTCTTACTGGGGTGCCTGGCGCTGTCACCTTTTGTTCTCGCATAATTCCTTTCCGATCTAATACATTCCAGGATTTGTTTGGTCCTGCTATGTGGACTAAGTATTTTGATCTCAGTCATGTTGATCCTACTCTTCCTGATGATTTATTCCTCCATAAACACCTCGTTGATTCGGCGGATTTGTCACTTTTAACCCCACCAGTACTGGTACAGTGTTGTTGCAGCCACTTCTGCTCAGGAAACGGCTGACCGCTTGGCTTCGTTGTCCTGCAGTGGAGAGACCCCTGTTCAGATCTCCAAAAATGACTGGTTAAATGCCAGCATTGGCACAATTCTTCTCCGGCACCATGTTGCAACTGGTGACATGGAACTGAAAGACTGCCATGAGGATATTAAATATATCCTTGAGGCCCAAGGCCATACTGTCCTCCAGATAGATATGTTCACTCAACCCCCTCATGGTTGTCGTCGTTGTCCTTTTCGAGATGTGAAGGTCACTTTTGATAGTAGGTCTCTTCCATCATCCGTGCTGGTGCCGGATGTTCCATTTAGGAGTACATCCCCTCTCCTCGCCCCTGCAACAGGTGCTGGAGATTTGGGCATGGTCCCCCTTCAGGTGCACAAGTGAGGTGTCTTTATGCCCCTTGTGTGGAGACTGGTCATTCTAAGACAGTGATCTTTCCAAGCTATCTGCATCAATTGCGGTGATGCCCACTCTGCCTTCTCCTGCGCATGTATGCACTACAAATTTGAAGAAGCCATCCTCTATTTGAAACATTGCGATCAACTATATTTTCCTGAGGGCTAGGTTTGCCGTCTTCCCTTTTTCTGTGGCATGACTTATGCTCATGTGTTGTGTTCCACTTCTCCTCGCTCTTTTCCACTTTCTCAGTTTTGCAGCCATTTCCAGGCCTTGGACCTAGACACCACCACCACCACCTCACCTGCTTGCATTCTGGGCCAGAGGGTCTTCCTCCTGGTTCTCTGTCTGGTGTTTCCTTCCTTCCTTCCCAGTCTTCCTTGTCTCCTGTGCCCTCTTTCCCTTATTGCCCCAATCCTTCTTCTCAGCACTTCCCTCTGTATTTTGGCCCTCCTCACCACCTGTCTGTCAAGGTCATTGTCCATCCTCCTCCCAGTATTAATGTTGACCATTCCCATTCTCCTGTTGAGACTGTAGAGGCTGTCGCCAAGTACATTGCTGATGGTATGCCTGTGTCTCTACATCACAAACGTAAACCTGGCTCCTCTCCTTCCTCCCCGGCAGGTAAGAAGGCATCAGTACTGTATATTCCTCATCTTCCGACTCCAACACTATCCCTGCCTCCCCCCCTCCCATTTCAGTGGCGGAGTTGCCTGTCCCTACTATGGGACAGGCAACTCCTATGCCCCATCACCCCGATTTCACTGATCCTCATCTTACTTAGTCTACTGTGTTCGTCTTTGCCTTCGTTTCTCCCTTGTTATCTTTGTTTCTGTTCTCTCTTTTGTCTATGAACTTCCATGGGCTAGGAACCATGGAACCAACTTCCATGAACTCCAACTTCTAATCATGCAGTTTTCACCGCCTTGTGTTTGTCTCCAGGAGTCGATGCTTGGCGCTCGTCCTGGTCACTTCCGTGGTTATTCTTTTCTCTCTTTCCCTCTAGCTTTTGCTGAGGTCCATAACTCTACTGCTCTCTTGATCTGTCATGATATTCCCTTTGTCCCCCTACTTTTTCAGTCGCACATTCAGTGTACTGCGGCCCGTATCTTTGTGAATACTGTAAATGGTATACAGTCTGTTCCATTTATCTTCCCCCAAATGTTCCACTTTCTCTTCCTGATCTTAAACACCTGTTGGACCTTCTCTGTCTTTAATGAATTCTGGTGAACCCACTCATGTCGACTCATGCACTCACACCTTTTCCTGTCTTGATCTTCTCTCTGCTCATCTTCTCTTTATTTAGACTTCACATGGTGAATTCTTGATGACCTCCATAACAGTGATCATTTCCCCATCCTTGTCACCTTCTCTTTTTACCCTCCCCTCTCCTTCCCTAGGTGGCAGTTTGCCAAGGCTGACTGCAACCTCTTCCTCTAAAAATGTGCTACTCTTTCCGACCTCTCTGATCTGCTTCTTCCTCGAGCCCTCATTCTTTTTCATGACATCATTTTCGACGCTGCTCTCTGATGTGTTCCTCGCTCTACCTCCCAGGGTGCGCGGAAGTGCGTTCCCTGGTGGAATGCAGACTGTGCTCAGGCTGTCCGCTGTAAGCATGCAGCCTGGAAAAAACAGTCGCCGAGGGATGCCCATTCTTTTATTTTGTTTCGGAAGAAGAGTGTGGTGGCCCGTAGGGCCCGTATGACTAAGCGTGAGAGTTGGAGATCTTTTGTCTCCACCATTACAACTGACACTCCTCTGTCCCTGATCTGGAAGAAAATCCGTAAAATAGCAGGTAAGTTTATTCCAGATGTCTTGCCAGTCCTTCACCTCCGTGGTTCTATTGGGACGGTCGTGACCGAACTGGGTTCGCACTTTTCGTCTGTTAGCTCCAGTTCTCATCTTCCTCATAAGCCACTTCTTGAATCTTGTCCCTTAGATTTTTGCACTCATCTTCAGCTTTCCTATAACAATTCTTTCTCTCAGAACTCGTCTGCCCTGGCCCTCTGCGGTTCTTCTGCGGCGGGCTCAGATGATTTTCATTATGAGATGCTTTGCCATCTCCCTCCATGCACGTTTCAGTATTTACTGAATATTTATTACCATGTCTGGGAGTCGTCATCAGTCCATGAGGACTGGCTTGAGGTCGTGGTTCTTCCTATTAGGAAATCTGGTTGTCTTCTCGTACATGGCAGTGGAAAACGGCTCTGGCGAGGTTATATATTGGCCATACTCTAACTCACGGGCACTTAATGGAGCGCTGCCCTGGTCTTTATTGTCCAAACTGCATTGTCCCTCTTACGGTAGTGCATATCCATCCTGACTTCCAGGATGTGCGTGCGTCTTGCTTCCCCAACTGTCCCTCATAGTCACCTGTTCCTTGATAGAATCCTTGGTGAATTAGATACCTTTGATATCGTTCACCTTGTGCGCTTTTGTTCTCGTATTGGCATCCTTTGTGATATTTAGTGCCTTTTGAATATCCCGCACATTTGATGGTGCTACATAGCCTTCCGTCTTAGTGCCTTCTTTTGATAATTAATTACTTATTTCTTCAGCCTTTTTATGAAAAAATTTTTTGGGGCAAAAAAATAAAAATGCCAAATTCATGGTTCTTTATTATTATTATTAGGAAACATATTAGAAATTATATAATGTATGACTGGACTTTCCAGTGATACAGTACCATCAAAATGACTTTGCAGCAATATTTGTAAATCTAAAACTAATTTATAAAATATAGTTTTTAATATTTGTTTTATTTAAATTTTGGTTTAAATTTAGTTTTTAAGGCTAAATTTAAGATTTAAATCTGAAAACACCATTCTAGAGTTGATTCTGGCCCCTTAAATCTGTTTATTACTCACAGACAGGGGTTCATTTGGATAAAAATTGCTGTAATTACCAGTGTGTAGTTACAGGATGAGAACTACTGTCTTAATTTTTTTTAGGCAACTTTTTATATTATTTGCAGTCGATGGCAGCCATCCCCTGGTACATCTAGTACAGATAGCGAGTTAGAGGAAATTTTTGGCAATTCCTTCAACTTTACCTGCCCCAGAAATGTCGTGTGCAGATACACCAGTCAGAATGAAGGTGTAGCCAACAAGGTGAGGATGTATGCTGTTATGTCTGGCCAGAAAAAATGATTTGCTTTGTTATCTGAACACACTGAAAAAACACTTGAATGTATTGGTCAGGATTTGTTTGTAGAGACGCATCATATGAATGTCTTAATTTTAGATTACTCTTTCCTGTATGTACTGTACTTCAGTACAGTCATATCTAACTGAGGTACACAGGTGCTTATAAAGGGGAAGAAAATGGAAGGTGAGAAGGCAAGATACTGGATTATTTATTTCAATTTTAATTTAGTAAGAGCAATATTAATTTTTCATTCAGTTCGATGGTTTTGATGGCTGCAGACTATTATACTTTCTCTTATTGTTGTTTTCTCTGATACGTTTAGCATCCTTCAATTTCATAATGTGTTGCTCTTGGTTCTTTTGTGTGACAATAAATGTTGGTGTTATGGAAACATCAAGCATACTTATGTGCCACAGAAATATTGGGAAACAACCATGACTCGGCAGAGCATGTGATAGGTCCCTGGATGCACGAACCTCCCCTGCACCAACAGGGAAGGCTCTCAACTTGTTGTCCAATGGACAAGTGAGAGCAATTCATAACCAAGCAGCAGGTGACTGCAGATACAATGGCATATAACTGAGAGTGCTCATACTCTCCAACTAGGTGCCATAACACCATGGCAGGAAGAAATGCTGCCTTAAAAAAAAAAAAAAAAAAATTGGTCATTCAGTGATGATGCAATTCAGTAGCAAGGTTTAACGAAACTTGAGAACTGAATTCAACAATCATAACAGCACCAGGAAAACATGATCCAGAGAGAGAGAGAGAGAGAGAGATAGATGAAAGAAGGAACCTGATGACTTACAAGATGAAGACATACTTGCCCTGAAACTGTAAAGCAACAACTCCAGCTGGAGTGACAAGAGGTGACAGTATTAGACATAAGGTGGTTCAGAAAGAGCCAGGATAACAAATTTATCGCCAATGCCACTGCAACCCATCCTTCAAACATGATAACACTGAACTTGTAGCAACACCACTGTCCTAAATAAGTAAGCCTAGTACACACAGTATATGGAAAGTTTACACTTGGCTGTTGCCTTTATTCTTGTGCCCTTTAGAAAATTAATAGTAAATGTGTGCTTTTTCTTATTATTTTATTTGGTCCATTTTTGGTTATGGTCTTCACAACCAGGCAGTTAGGCACAGCTGCTTGCATCCTAACATGAATCTTGGCATGGTTGGTCAGCTATCCTTTGGAGGTGTTAATCAGGTTTTCTTTTGAACACTGAAAAATTGGCTAGTGATGCTCCTTATGTTTAGTGGGGAAGAATTGAAAAGTTTTGGGCTCTTAATGTTGTTAGAATTCTCTCGGCTTATCTATTGCTGCTGTGCTTTTCAGCAGGGTTATATTTCCACTTTCTGCCATGCCTCCTGGTCTCATGTGGAGTTATTTACATGTGCAGGCCTAATATTTAGTTCTTCATACACACTGTATAATGTATATAATACTGTATATAACACACTTTTTTTCGCACCTGTGCTCCAGAGAGTACAGATTTTAAATTTGTTTAGTAGTTCCAATAACACAGGTGTTTTATTGTGGATTCAGGCAGTAAAAGATCTTTGCATGTTTTCCAGGTCTTAATTTCTCCAACTTTGAATGGAGCTGTTACATATTCCACCCTAGAGAGCATTAGTCTTAAAAAGTATCATTGGTCTGCCATCTCTTGTTTGAAAGATTCTTATCCAACCTGTTATTTTCTTTGCAGTTTTGTCAGCTAATTTATCCTGGTCTTTAAAAAGTAAGGTCTTTCAACATGATTGCTCCCAAATCTATTATTTTGCTTTTTCATTCTGAATGTGGTTCCCTAGTCAATGAAAAGCAATGTAGCAAATTTTGATATGTAATTATCAAATGAAGGTGCCAAGCCAGGGACAACATTTGGGTAGCTTCATTCCTTAACCCTTTAGCTGTTCAACTTACCTCTAATTCAGAAATAAACTAATTTTATTTGTTTATTTTATCAAGACCGTAGTTTAATTCACAAATTTTAAGCAAATTTTTGTTCATATCTATTACAGCATTTACAAAATCATACCTAGTATGTATACTTTTACTGATCAAATTTAATAATTGTATTCACCCTTTAAGATAGCCATACAGTATAGCCATACTGGCTTAGTGCTTTCCTTTGATAATTACATACTTCACCTTTGATAATCGGTTTGTTATAAAATTGGTCCTTTGTATAGTTACTATCAGTATAGTATTGCCTTGATTAATTACAATTGAAAATAGTTTTGGTAATAATGAAGATAAATACTTTTTTTTTTTTAAATGAAAGTAAGAATGTTTCTTATGCTACAAAGTTGTTGAATGCCCCAATTTGCTTCTATTTAACAAGATTCCCCCGCCCCCTTTTTTTTTTTTGTGTGTGTGGGGGGGGGGGGCTGCAGATGTCGGTTCTTTTGGTCTCAAGAATCTATAAGTACTTCTCAATTCTACTAGTGCAATTTCTTATTGATGTAAGTCATAGTGTGACCCTACATACAATAATATATCAACATACGTTGCAGTCTTAAGGGTTATGGCTTGTGGGTCAAGTTAAAATTTTGCAGAATTTACATTTAGTAGAATTAATAAGTATACTGTACCATGTAATGTTAGTCAAGCCAACCTTAATCTATTTTTGTCAGGAACAAGTATGAAGTGTGTAATGAGGAATCACCATGGATGATACTCCCATAGTACACTTCCAGCGAGGCCACGCATGTCGGGTGCACTCCCGCACTCCTCCAGCAGGGCCTTGTTTTCCCAGGGGCCCCCTCCCTTCTGGCAAGGTGGTGCTTCTTGACTGCTTCATCTGCAATGTGTAAATAATGCCATCGAATTTATTACAGTTCATACTGCAATAATTTGGTGTGTGCTCACTAACACAGATACAGTACTTCTAATTTAGAAAGAATTTAGAAGCACTGTATCTAATTAAACATTTCCTGTTACTGTATACCCAATCATGTACTGGTTTGGTATTTCATTTATGCCTCTTTCTGTCTGATTAATTTTCTTAAGCGAGATGTGTTATTTTAACGCACATAGGTTCTTAAAATTTATATATTATATATATATATACAGTATATATATTTAATGTACTTGGCGCTTTCAATTGTGGAAAAAGTATCTTTCAAAATTGAGAAATATTTGATTTCTCCAACCTATAAAAATATAACTTATAATTTTGTTTTATGTATCTTTTTGAAGTAAGTAATTATCAAAAGAAGACACGAAGCCAAAGAGACTGATGGTGCTACATGCAGTAGCGTTGCTAGATATTCAAAAGGAATTGAATATGACTTGGGATGCCAATATGAGAACAAGGCAAGTGCTATCAAAGTATCAGATTCATCTTAAAGTCTGTCAAGGATGGATAATCCTGAGGAACATTAGGAAAGCAAGATATACAGTACGATCGTCCTAAAAATCAGGACATTTAACAAGATGTATGACTAACCGGGACAATGCAGTTTGAACAATAAGGAGCAGGGTGGCATTCCACAAGTGTCCCACAAGATAGAGGGTGTGGCCAATACATAATCTAGTTACAACCATTTCTTATTCTCTGTTAACTAGGTAGCCAAGGCAGTTAAGTCTGGCAGCCAAGGGGATAAGTTACCTTTAAAAGTGCACAGCTTTGTTATCTGCAATGCCAGACCAACACCCCTGCCAACAGTTGTACAATTCATTACTGGGTAGAAATCTGAATAAGGCGTGAACAAATCCACAAGGATCGTGATAAGGGTTTGAACCTACGTCCGAGATGATCCCAGACGTGCCTTAGTCAATTGCGTCACTGCATGGTCAACCACATGGTCAACGATGCGGTAAGGTGCGTCTGGGATCATCTTGGATGCTGGTTTGAACCCTCATCATGGCCCCCCCTTGTGGATTTGTTCATTTGATGTATCACGCTATTGTGATTTCTGTGTGTACTGAATAAGGAATGCCTATTTGAGAAATAGTTAGTGTGGATGGCCTCCTTAATGGCAGTGTGTGCACATTAATTTAAGGTAACACCAATATAGTACCTAGAGAGCCAGCAAAACTCAACTGTATTAAATTTGCTAGAGATAAGAAATGGCCAATATTGGATTTTGACCATCACAGGATGCAAAGGATTAAGTAATTCTAAAGCCATGAGGGTACTGTGAGAGTCGATCACAGTTCACAGTATAGTGCAGAGCATAGAGATGTTGAAGGGTCAAGGGAGATGCAGGGATATGTGGAGCAGCCAATAATCAAATTTAGACAGCACGAGAGATGAGTGTGCATCAGCTCTCCAGGAAGTATGGTACAAGAATAATTAAGGTGTTACCTTGGAGCATTCAACTCTGAGGTGAGAGATGTGGGGGTGACCAAGAAATGGGTGTCAAAGATCAATCCCAAAAGTTTAGCAGTATTTTTAAACAGAAGGAGATTACCATGGAGTGACAAGGGAATGAGGAACTACATGCACAAGTCATAGTTGTACAGAATGTAAAGGAATGATTGATGACCAATGATGAAACATGATCAATAGTAAGTTGGTGTTGGAGAAAAGCAGTCGTCAACACAAAAGCATAGCGAGATCATTATGTAATGCTGAGAAAATGCCATTGAGAAGGGAGGAAGAAAGACCATTTAGGGCAACCAGGAAAAATCTATTTTGAATGTATGAAAATGCCATTTTTTGGGTGAGCCTAGGTGGCTCACCCAAAAAATGAAAAAATATACTGAAGCTATCCACGATGAAGAAAAACGAACTCACCAGGGAGGATGAACCATAGGCAGTCACAACGAAGCAAACACTCCAAGCCGAGAGATGTGACTCAAGGAAACACAAGTGCAACAAGGCTTGGGAACATTAGCAAAGAACTAGGGTGCCAGCACCCTGTTAGACTAACAAAACCCCAATGCCTGAATATCAACCTAGGACATATTAATAAACAAGAGCTGCAAGGGTGGCATGCATTCGAACATTGTGGGCATGAGGGTAGACCACAGTCTGGCTCAATTTAGTGGCACTAGAAAGAAAAGGGGCACAATACTACTGAAGTAAGGGGTTGGGGTGCATAGGAAAGTGATTAGAGATGGTTGGGTCAAGAGGGTAGGGGTAATAAGGATAAGAGAACCTTCAAGGTCCAGTGAAGGAGACAGTGCCAGAGAAGGGCAGGACAGGGAGTGAGGCTGAACTAGGAACCGGCAATGTGCCCTGGACGAAGAGCAACATCAGAAGTAGGAACAAAGGGGATGTGAACCTCTATAGCAAAGGCAGCAGAGTCTACTATTGAGATGGGAGGGAATGCACGAACAAGGACGGAGGTGGTAGCCCAACCCGTCCTCTTAAAAATAACGTCACTTTTCGCTAGTATGCGCGCTATGGCCAAATTTGGACATAATTTGAAATGAAATCGACTCACAAAAGTAACGTACATTTCAGTTGCTTGTAACATTGCTTTATTATATTACGTAGTCAAAATGAAGAATTCAAAATAAATAGGGGTGTCTATTGGGGGGGGGGGGGGGTCAGAGAAGTCTGGTAGTAGGGGATGGTGTCAGAAAAGTCTGGTGGTGGGGATGGTGTCAGAAAAGTCTGGTGGTGGGGATGGTGTCAGAAAAGTCTGGTGGTGGGGATGGTGTCAGAAAAATCTAATGGTGGGGATGGTGTCAGAAAAGTCTGGTGGTAGGGATGGTGTCAAGAGAAGTCTGGTGGTGGGGGATGGTGTCAGTGGTGGAGGATGGTGTGGTGGGGGATGGTGTCAGAAGTGATTGATGATGAAGAGCTGGCAGATTATTATCAACACCTAAAGGGCATGAAAGATATTATAATAAAGGAGAGCGCACAGCGAAGAAACAAACTAAAATTTTCAAAAGTTTTTGGTGTGGTTTCATAGTAGGCCTCGCAGGACTCTGGGTCGAAGGTGTCACTGACCCATCAGGCAACATGACAAGAGGCATAAACGGTGAAGGTCGCCCAGAGACAAGGGGACCAAGCAACCCTCAAACTCGCATAAGGCGAGAGAGGGACCCAGGGGTCGCTTCCATTGGACCCACGAGCCCCACGGGGTTTCCCCAGAGTCCTGAGACAGAACTCACGCTCAGGGAAGTCCAGGCAGGGTACTGTTAACTGGGGGCTCAAAATTATCAACAAACTGCTAAAAGCTGCTCCCCTGGGACGTGTACACTCACAGAGGGGCCTAGTGGGGGACAACAAAAATACAAGTGGGTGAGACTAGAACCAAGGGAATACCCCACTAGGCAAGAAAACAAAAACAAACGAAAAACCCTGCAAGAGGACAACGTATCCAGGCTGAACAAAGCCAGCTGCTATGAGAGGTTACAACAAGCAGCACAGTACCCTGCACCTCAACCAGTGATGAATACTATGCCTTACCCATAGGCAAACGAAAGAAACACCCCAGCTGACTAAGGGCGGTCAATCACCAAACAGCAAAAGGCCTTACGGAGGTAGCCTCCAAGGTGACTTGTGGAAGATGGCTCCAAACCCCAAGGGCAGTATTTGCTGGGCACCTAGGGAAGGTGACCCTAGGCACGTGCAGCCCAAGTACTTGTGATTATACTCTTGGCTCGCACACCACCGAAGACAACGCCACACCACAAGGCACAGGACTGGAAATCTGGAGCCAGAGTCACATCAGACACAGAACTGCAGGGTAAACAGCCAGCACAGGGGTCTGGGGCTTCCCCTTCCCTCTCCTGGGGAGGGAGGAGCTGCACAGACAGCGGCACGGTGACATGGTTACATCATGCTTGTTTGCTTGTTTTCATTTGGGTAGTTCTGTTCACTAGTTCAGCTTTCAGTAGCAATTTCGAAATTGCTATAGAATAACAATAACAAACCAGAATAGGGGTTTGTTTTGGGGCACTACATTTCTGGGTGTCGTACTCGGTCGATGGCAGACATAGAATTCTTCCAACCACACGGGGTTTCTAAAGGCCATTGCTCCTCGTGCCTCTGATTGGGGCCAGGTTCTGGCTCGTGGTCCCTGGTAGGCCTAAGAACTCCATTTACTTTACTAATGCCAGGGGTCTAATACATTCATATCAGCTGAGTTAGCTCCGGGGCTCCCCCCTAAAAATTTTAGTTTTTTGGAAATACAGATTTGATGCCAAGCCAAATTCGAGCTGGTATGATATAATTCACATTTTCAAGAGCAGTTTGTGTGTATAATATATATATATATAGTATTACCTAGTAGCCAGAATGCACTTCTTGGCCTACTATGCTAGGGTGGATTTGCATAATAGGCCGAGTGATTTTCTTTATTTTCAGCAAATTGTTTCCATTTGGTGTATTTGAAATATATTATCGTTACTGTATATTATATTAAGAACATAAACTATTGACTTAGTTATGTTAGTTTAGGTTAGGTTCGGTTTTATCTCAAATTAACAAAAATGAACTCATTGATAATGAAATGGCTAGCTTTATAGTTTCATAAGAAAAAAAATTGAAAAATACTTAAATTCTGGAAAATTTGGCTTATTAGGCAAATTGGGCCTTGCATAGTAGGCTGAGTACTGTGTTCTGGCTACTAGGTACAACATATACATATATACACACACACACATATATATATTAAATAAATAAATAAATGATAATATAATAGCATCTGGAAACACAAGTTATCTCAACACACACCCACCTAACTGGTTATGCTGAGGGTGAAACTTATGATGATGACGTCACTATGGCACGTTGGTCATGAGTGGATACAGCGTCTAGTCACATCACAAAAACAGTGTATGATTAAGTCTTAAACTTGCTCCACTGGCACACACTGTCATGCCTACTGTACCTTGCATATCATTTTTGCAAGACTTCTTACTTTCTGCATCAGTTGGGTTTGGGCTTTGCAGAAAAGTGCTCTTAAAAGCATTGGAATATCATACAACAATTAAAAAATATATATGTAATCCACAAAATCTTCACATAACCACTTCATAATTATAAGTTATCTCCATATGAACATAATATGTATAAAAGCTTTCATTTTGTACAAAAGGGGTTTCAAAAAATTATACTAGAACACAAACTTTACGAAGTAGAATCTGGAGGCTGAAACACTTCCTAAATGATTGCTGCAAATTTTGATTCATGAAAAATATACTGTACAGTGTATTGAGTGGACTTGGGTACAAACATCAGTATTACCATGCAAAAATGTTGATAGATTAT